GGCATTTATTTGTCATGTATTCATTATATTATATATACAGGAAAATATATGCAAAATAATGTTTACATGCAAGATGCTAATATACATGTTTTCAACATTTTATCAATTTACCTTTGACCTTTATCGTTACTTTCAATTTCGTTTCATCGTTCATTATTTCGTCGAAATTACTAATTTGTCATAGTAATTAATATCATTAGAAATTTAAAACCCGTTCAATCCACCAAAGAAATTATGCTACGATCTTCGCGAATAATATTCTGCACCTTTTACCAATTCGAGGAACTTCTTATAATTCTGACTGTTGCTGATTTTCGCCAGGTAGGGTTTAGAAAAGTCCTGGAAAATCACGCGAACCGATTTCTTTTTTCTCTTTCCCCGACTGTCACCGTCCTCGGTGGTGAGAAACTGCGTTTCCACCGACAAATTCGCGTCGTCCACCACGATTTCATCGATGTCACCGTTCGAATCGCGCCAACAGTGAACCACGATCTCGTCTGCATCGTCGCTAAGTTCGTCGATATCGTCGAAACTCGGGGTCGCTGTTAAATTCGAGTAATAAGCGTCCTCTTCGTATTCCAACGATTCGAACTCGTGCTCGTTTTCACTCGGGCAATCTTGTTCGCCGTGCTCTTGACACACTCTCGTCCTCGGTCCTTGATGATCCTTTTCCTCTTTCACATTCGGCATGTCGATTCTCATGACAGCGAACACTTTTCTCTCACTCTGTTCGTCCGAATCGATGTAGAAGCATCTCGATCACATTATCCCCTCGACCCTAACGCGTTTACCGCTTCATGTCCGACCGTTTATGAAAAACTAGTTCCCCGGGAAAAACGGTTTACCGTAATCAAACGAGTCGAGCACAGAGCACAAACGTTGGAATATATACGGCTAGTTCACTGATAAAAGTAAGCAGAGTTTAGATAAAAGAATATCGAGGTTTTCACAGAATTTTATGGAACGAAGTTCGAGACCACGTGTATAGATCGGGGTGAGCGCAGACGACGATCACAGCTGGCACGATCGAAAAGATCGCAGGTTTCCGATGCTGAAGAACACGACGGCAACGCCGTGTAGCCACGTATCCAAGAAGAAAAGAAATCGCAGCCGGTTTACTCGTTCCTCTTTTGCGAAGGTGAAAAGGGAAGGGATCCCCCACCTGTTTGCACCTTCCTACCTCTCCTTATCTAACCATCAGAAAATCGTAATACATACGATTTTCACCTGTCAACTTATCTCGATTTTCTCAGTAAATAATAATAAGATCCCTAATAAAGTTCCTTTTTCGAGGGAACATTATTTTAAAGCGTATAAAAAAAATATTACACATATGGTTAATGAGTTTACCATCTGTCGATAAATGATTTATAAATCTTCTGGAGTGAGAATTATAAGTAAAAAAAAATGATACTTTTAATTGGTTCTGAGCATATTGCATGTTACAGCGAAAATTAAATTAAATTTATGGTGTCCATTACTGATACCTTGATCTGAGAACTTATTTTTGATCTAATTTAGAAATAGAAATAGCAGAATAGATCTAAATATCACTGTAAGATCATAAATACTAATTATTTAAGATAGGAGATTGAGAAATTATCTCTTCATGGTCAGACATTGACTGCCACAGTAGATACAGCTATTATTCTCACAGATATTCTGAATTTTTTTTCCTTTTATAATTATGTTACATTTGTAACGTGGATCACTAGTATCCATCATGGTAAGCCACATACAATAAATCTTCATTTCATTTTACAACGTGGGTCATTCTTAAATTACACACGAGTTCGATGAACCTTCCATGGCCAAAGAAAAGGAGCTTTGTGGACGGCAAAAAATGGATCGAGAGTACAGGAAAAAAATGTGCCTGTTCGTATAAAGGATTTTGTTGGATAAGTATCCTGGAACGGAATCCTCGATGGTTCACTGACCTCAGTCGCGTATTAAATTTCATCCTCCAGCAGGAAATTTCGAACAAAAAGCATATTATTACAACTACTTACATCCTATGAATTATGCGAGGTTATTATTATAAAATTTGGAAATTTCAAATTTCTTTATTTATTAAAGGAATAAAGTGACGGAATTTGAAATATTTTTGCTTCAAAATAAAATAACATTATCAGCTACTTGATACTAAATTCATTCGAATTTTCTTGTTAAATGAAAATTGACATAGTAAACTAATTGCTCTAAATTGGTACTCTATGAGTAAATGAAGGAAAGATACAGATACGATTCTATACAAAGTAATCAATAAAACAAATGGCGATGGTCCCACACCAAATAAGGTTAATTAAAGTTTGAATTTTTAATATGAAAATTAATCGTAAAATAAAGTTTGATAGACCAGAATCTATATAAAACCGGTTCATCCACTTTGAGTTTGATGCAGTTACAAATACGGGTCTCTGGTAACAGGAGCTTCAAGGTTAACGACTGCATGTAATAATCCACGAATAAAATGACCGATAGTTAAAAAAATTCCTTGCTGGATTCATAATCCTTTAATTAATTCGCCATAGAGATACTGTCCCGTAAACTTTAAATTAATTGTCCTTTTTATAACTTGTTGAAAGGATTCATTAAATGACAAAATAATTTTCAGAATCTATAATGAAATTTATACAAATTTATTATTAATTTAAATGTAGTTTAGCCGTGAAAATAGCACCGTTACCGTATAACACTTGGAATTTTTATTTCACGGTCTATAGATTACAGACATATTTGCGCATCCACGTGAAACTGAATCCGAATTCTACTTTATGACTTGAAAACTACTGAATTATCACAAAAAATATCCATAAGTTCCGGAATTATTCTTAACAAAGACTTCCGCTTGAACAATCGTATTGGAATAATACATTCCCGATCTTTGAACGTTTACTTTCACTATTCCCTTTTCTTTTATGGAAAGAATAAAAACTACACCAAGTTCGAAGCAGCAAAATTTTAGCTAGAATTTCAAAAGGAATTCAATTTATTCTGTTCGAAGCATTTTTGCATTCAGACAGTTAGGACGTTGCAATCAAAGGAACCGCGTGCTATGATTTCCGCGAACACGACACCACAGAACATTTCAAACTTTCTCCGTGCAATTGTCCACTAGATAGGAATTATGCAAACATTTCGTCGCTTTATAATCGGTGAGTCATGTCGCGCGATATCGTGAAAGATTGATTTCTTTTGATTGATCCGAGGAAGAGTTACTGGTGATTCTTTCGCGTAAATCAGTCAACGATGCTTCTGTTAGTCCCATTTCAGAGGATGGAAAATATTTGCATTGAAAATAATGGAACCGTTAATGTCCGTGAGATAGAAAGACGAGGGCAGCAATGGGGCCGCCAGAATATGAAAGATAAAACATGTGGGAGCGAAAACGCGGATTGTAAATACCTGACGTAAAGTGCGAAAATAGGCTCCGCCAAAATCGTGAATTTTAGAAATTAAGGATAGTTAGTTTATGATATGTCTTGGATATTTTTTGGCAAATTAAATAATTTTATTATTGCTTTTGCTAGCTTAGTATTTCTAATATTTTGAATAACACTGACGGCGAAATTGATATACAACTTTGTATTAGAAATATGCTACACTATATCCGTGTATACACGAGAGAGGATGTAATTACATTACAGAATGTTACGATAACTATTTCTGATAAAATGTACACGCACGGTAGTAGCAGTGTTACCGTCGCATAATATAAAACGATATCAAGAACGACCTTTACTAATCAACGCTTTAAAATCCTTATCTTTTAACCACTTGTGAACACGCATTTGTCAGTCACAAAATAATGCAACGTACAACACAAACTCTGTGATACGGACATTTTATCTAACTACACAAATTAAAAATAAATGCGAAAATTGATTAAGAATTAAATAAAAATTATTTCAAGAATGAATTAAAAATTAATTAATAGTAAACTACATATACCAAAAAGATCAAACTCTTTTCAAAGTATCTGGTTTCTTTAAAGAAGTATCTAGATGAATTCTAATTATGTTAGCGTAATTAACAACACTGTACAATAAAAATAACCCACCCGCACACACCGGCGTACATAAAAGTCATGTTGTTGAAAAAATTAAAATAACAATGATTTAAATCTAATGTTTCCTACAAACGTGTCACTTAACATCCCGTTAGAATACTATTCATGGAATAACTGTAACAAAATAATCGGTTACGTAAAAATTAACCTCTAAAGTGCAAATCAAACCATATTCAAAATTAAATATCGCGAAATTTCATGCGATATTGCGATTATCGCATAGGATCGATCGCGTATCGTTGTGTGTGATAAGTGGCACGAAAGTAATGGATTTAAAGGCTGTTTGAAACGCGAACGATCGTAAAAAAAATTAGCATAGGTTAGAATGCATTCGTCGAAGGTATTCGTTATAGAAAACAATTTTTCTTATATGATACTATTTCAAACGGGAGTCTTGTTTCAGAGGGAACAACGTGTCACGCCGCAAACAAGAGATGCATACGTTGTTACGGAGTAAAATAAAAAAAGTGGCGTCAATGATCTCACCTGTTGGTACGTTGCTCATTTTGTCGAATAGACACGCCTAGGACGATGTTCCCTCTTGGTTGCACCCAATCAATCACTCGCGAATAATCAACGAAACAATAATATGCACAGCTTTTTCCGCGAGAACTTTCGAAACTGACACTGTGACGTGTTCTCCGCTGCCGAACTGTGATCGATTCCTTCCAAATCGCTTCTGTGGAACAGCGCAGCGGCCATATTGAACACAGTTGGATGATTGCGCCATCACTCGACGATCATCGAACTATCAGACGCGCAAAGTGTTTATTTAAATTTATGGCGGCATTTCATATTCTATCGCTTCCAAATTATATCTAATATTTTATTCATATTTTCACGGTTAATATCACGTATCTGTGATTTCGATATTTATTTTATTACCAGGAAAATGGCAAGATATAAAAAAATTAAAAACCAATAGTATTTCTTTACAACATTTATTTCTAATATCTACATATCTATGTACAGATACATACACTCGTCTATGCAACGCAAATATGATAATACTCTACAGCACGAGAGCCCGATGGTTTTCTTCTTCTAAACATTATTAGCGTTTTAATAATTAATGACAATCCGTGTTCGTGATAGATGTTGGGCGATCGACAAAAAACATCGCCATCGTACGGAAGCGTAAAGATGTTTCTTTATTGCGCACAAGTCAATTCCTATATGTGTACAATCTATACATTGCATTTACTTTGCGATAATACTATGGAATTCTAACTCACATTTGTGTGCTGTAACTTCGTATAGAAGTATTTAATATTTATGTTAATTAAACAATCCACCTCTGACAAAAATCATACTTCTACATTTTAAATTGAGCAAACCAAATTAAATTTTTCTTGATATTAACAGTTGATTAAATTTTGTTCGATAAATGAAAATGATCAGGTATGGACAGTGAATATGATAATGAACTTAAAACGAATAAAGTGTATTGTTTCACATAATACAGACATATACTATAAATACACACGTACACCTATTAATTGTTATCACTTTATATTCGGTGTTTCTTTGGAAGTTTCGATACGCGATCGTCTACGAAGCAACACATTTAGATGATCACGTAAATTCTCTAAGATTTGATGAATTTGAAAGCGATCAGCGTGGTTGATCTCGTACTGGCCTAAATGTCCCTCGTATTTTCGATTAGACGAATCGTTAATCAATTACTATCACGATCTGGTGATGCTTACACCCTAACGATAAGCCAAACTAAGTTCTATTTATTACGGTTGAAGCTGGCAGAGGTCTGTGTCCACCTGGTGATACACTTTGGAGAAGCAATTAGCATATTAATCATTGGCACCATTAAGTATCAAATATCGTGGGTCTATATCGTTTAATTTTCGGTCAAGCGGTCTATCATTTACCATTCAACCCTTTCGCTACTAACAATATTTTAGAGAGTAAAATTTATTTTGCAATTTATATATAATTATATTTATATTTCCATTTTCTTCTGTTTTATTGCGTGCAATTGATTATAGTCACCCTTAATAGCGAAAGGGTTAAAAGCGGAATCGTTTTAGGGTGATCGTTCTTCGCCTTTAAATAGGAAACAGACATTCTAAAAAATTTCGAAAAGCCGACGAAAGCGACGAACGTGAAATGATGTTACGAAAATAGCAACGATAACTAGTATTGCTCGTTCGATGCCTGGTTGCGGAATTGTTGAGCTAACTTGGCCACTATTTTGGCCGCTAATGTTTTTCCCGTGCGTATAATCGTCCTAAAGTGATGAACAACCTCCGAGCCGCGTTTAGAAAAATTATGCCAGGTAGAAAATTAGTTTACCCGCTAGCATGTATTTTCAAAATTGAAGATTGTAAAAAGCGATCTTCAGTGTCTGTAAATTTTTTTGCTAAAAAACAGTCCCAAAGATAGCATTGAAAAAGCGTCTGTATATTAATTTATTTTATTTAAATATATATATTTATCAAGTATACGTACCACTCTATACATCGACAATTTTTTAAGTAGCAAATTTAAGTTTCTTTTTGTTTTTTTTTTTTTTTTCTTTTCTTTAAGTGTAGTTAATTTTTTAGTTTTGTGCCTGATACAGAGAAAAATGGTTGCTCATCACTGTTCTAAATTATTATACCTAGATACAAGTGTATAGTACAGTCATTGTATGTACAGAAACCTATCGTCAAGCTAATGTATCAGTACTCGGATAGGAGACTTTGGCTTAGCATTCGACCAGCCTGCTTTCTTCTTCTTCTTCTTTTTCATCCTTTTATAAAAATAGTGTCAGAAGAGATCTCATAACTACGCGTAATCGTAAAAACGAATATATGTATGTGAGAAAGGTACAACCTCTCGTGTTTCTTTCGATCCCTGGTTAAAATGATTCGGATCGCGTAAAGGTGATAAGAATGGAAAGGGAGCGGACTTTGACACATTTTGTTGAGAAGCAATAGAATTTAACAATTTTCCTTCAAGCAAATGTTCTAAATTAAAGTTCAAATTCAGATCCGTTCGCATTTTCACCAGGTGTTGTTCTTGCAAGGAAATCGAACGGAAGTGTTGATCGTCTCGCCGTATTTGTTCTGTGTCTCTATGCTTTCGTGTACGTGTGTGTTATAAAAAATTCACGCCGATCGTATTTCCACGGTATGTACAGGAAAGTGTCAACTAACGGATGGACTTCGTGCTTTATGTTTGTCGTCGGTGAAATCCGAGTGTTTCACAGCGTTTTACGAACGACGCGAGAGAAGGAAAAACGTTCGCTCATTGAGACTTTACGTACAGATTTTACACATTGAACTGTAGGCGGTTTTATCGTAGGACTACGCGATCTTCCTTATCTAAGCTTTGTTCGAAACTCGACGAGGAGTTTCAGAGAGGCGACAGATTCGTCGTATCTCCCGTCTCATTGCCTAATTAACGCTAAAGTAACTCGATTCTGCTCGGCAAAAGAGCGCAAGAATACTCGAGTTTAAATTGTCTAAAAAGAGATACGCGCGTACGACCTGCATACGAAATTCAGCTACGAGGCGTAAGCTTACGGTGTCTTGATTTTTTTTCGGAACGAAGCTTTTTTCGGCGAAAGATCGCTTTTATCGCGTTGGCTACCATCGTTAATTGATTTCAAAACCAAGACTTTTCGAGTTAAACGAGGGTTTGTCATGGAAAACAAAAAATAAAAATAAGTAAGAGTGTTAAGTGACATTTCCTCAAGGTAAAAAGTGATAAACTTGAATAGAAAAATAAAGTAATTATAATATATCTCAGTGCACATGACCTTTTCACTCTGGTAATCAACGTGTTAATTGCGATTCAATGAATTTTTCTTAGCTTTGCCTTTCAATTATGACAAATTCATTGGTATCATTAGCAATATTGCACATTACCTTACAGATGCCTGTAACTAAAAAAAACTTGTATAAAACACACGATGTGCCATTTGAAGCTGTGTACAAAAGTTTCACATCTATTTATCCTGGATTCTCGCATGATTCCTTGGCAATTGATCATACTATCATACAAATTTTACATTCACAAATAAACGAATAAAATTCAGAAAAATTTCTTCGAATCATTTAAAATATAATTTAAAAAATTCAAAGAATTTGAAAGAAAAGGAAGAACCAGTTTAATTCCAAGCACGATATGCCAACAATGTGTATGAACAATCCTCGCCAGGATACGCGAGTTTATATTTCTTTGCTTCTCTTTGAATACTTGTTACCGTATCGCTTAAAGATCTTCACGTTCATTAAAATATATCTTCCATATTGACATAATTGCGGTCCCAATATCCTCCTTGGTAGAGCCAGTCCTCTTGACCTGAGTATGGATTAATGGCTAATTGGAACCACCTGTGGTGCATGGAAGATTTGCATACTGTACACTTCAATGTTAGTAGATGTCGTTAAAAGTATCATTAGTGAGATGATATATTCAAGAATATATTGAATTAATTTTAATTTCAGAATAATTTAATATACCTCGGCGTCCATTCCTGGCCTTTCTTGTGCTTTCGAGCTTTACGCGTTTCTCGTTGCTTCTCCTCCAGCCTTGATTTTTCAGCCGCTGCTCCATCCTGATCGCCATTTTCCAATTTTCTGATATCCGGCCTTAATCTCGAGTCCGACGGACATATTAACTTTTCCAATTCCGGTGTTAGCTCGTTTAACGCCATTGCAAACGTTGTAAATTGATAATACTGAAAATTTCATTCGTGTCACTAGAATATCGTTTAATTCATGATATTGGAAAATTTATTTTAATTTATTTTTCTAATTAGTAAACTTACGTCTGCACTGTTAGGCGGTCTTGGAGCAGCCTCCCAAAGGGTAATGGATCCAGGAATGTCATCGATCGTTGGTATATCTTCTCCGTCTATACTTGCTGATGGATCATCAATTGCATCCTTAAATTAAAGAAAAAATTCTATTTATTAATTAAAAATATTATTTTTACAAACAGTTATAGAATTGTAAAGGAGTATAAAACATTTTATAAAAATTGAAAGAGATGCATACGAAAAATGAAATATTAGCTTTCTTTTTATGTTACGTTAATCTGCTGAATATGCTTTCAGGATATGCTTTCATTACGTAAAAGTTTTGATGAATATGCAGAGCTTTAATGAATGAAGGTACGTATAAATAGAGCCAACACAAAACAATCTGTATATGTATATCTTGCTTTTGAAAACATCAGCTGAAAAGGGTAACAGGATGTCGAGCAGAAAATAGAACTTTTATTGAATGAAAAAAATAATTTTTAGATTATAATTAAAAACGTCTAAATGTCTTTTTTTAAGTATCTTCGAACAGACAATACGCCTTCTTCTTTTATATATTTCATATATGAAGGTCGTGTATTTAATTATCAATTGAATAGAAATAAATGAGATAATTAAGATTTTGAATACCTGGTGCGAAGGCTTAAATGCTCCTACTTTAAGACTGTGCAATTTCGCCAATACTTTCTTATGTCCTGGACTTCCTTGAGGACTTTTCGCTTCTCGTTTCACCTTCTCCAAAGCTTCTTCGTACGACACAGGATCGCATACCTTCATTTTATCTGTCCATTTTCCATAAAGGAACAACAATTTCCTTTTGCTAGAAACAAGAACAGACCACTTGCAATAATTTTTAAAACTAATTCTACGCTCAGTTAACGATGGAATTTCTAATGCTTTTAAACGTTGCAATTTTAATTCAGATGAAAAATTTGCATGTTCTTCGTTTTCAAGGATCGGTAATACTTGAAGAATAACGACGGGCGTTAGAATCTCAATTTTAAAGTGACTTCAAGGTGTTCCAGAGTTCATCATTATTCAGGAGTTTCAAGAGATTCAAAACTTTCAAGTTACATATTTTGGTATTCAAAGCGATTCGAAGTTTAGGTGTATTTGTGAAATTTTTCAAAGGAAACAGGGTCTTCTATTAAAGATTGGCACGACTTCACGAAAGAGCAATGGTTACTACGAAATTCAAGTGATGATAAAATGTTACCAGCTTACTCTTGATCCGTTATGAAACCTTCGACTCGATGAAGATCCTTGCCATTGCAGCTGGCACTTTTGAAAGAAAGAGACGCCTTCAGGTTTGCTCCTCCACTTTGTTTGATCTCCAGAGAGCCAAGTTGCTCCATCCATAATTGGCCGACGAGGACATTATGAAGTATGCAGTTGATGTTCTGCCAAGTGTAAGCTTCCTTCCATCTGCATACACGATTCGGTTTTCGAGGTGAAAATTCAGGGCGAAGATAATGAAAACGCTAAGCGATTATAAGAATATTTTTTTGCCAATTAGAGAGGATCCATCTGATTGATTTCAATAATGATCCCTGTTAGCTATTCTATTTTCTTAGTAGAGCATTTTTAATGTTTGATAATTATTTTCTCCAGCAGCTGTAAATAATATACTCACTTGGGAAGTTCCACGGTGACAATGCCTTTTGGATGCACTTCTATCGATTTGCCCCAAAATTTTAATTTCGGATGTATGCTGCCGTGGAAAACAAAGTCTTCGCTATCCGCATGGAAAGCGGACACCGGTGGATGGTGGGAAACTTGCTCGCAAATTATCCTAAAGCGACAATTATAACATCGTACGACAAAGTTAATTGATTTGTATATTGAGAAAAATTATTATAAATTCTGTGCAACAATGCTTTCATTACTGCCGTAACACGTGGTACACGTTATATCTGAAGAATTTCATTACGTACCGGAAGTCCTCGCGCTCCAACTCGTATGTCTCTCCCAGAATCGGATTAAAGGGTTTGCCAAGTCTTTCCCAGTTTGAAGCCAAAGCGCTGACAGCAAAAGCAGCAACGTACTGAAAGGCAAATCGATAACACGGATCATTTATATTTCAGATGATTCAGATGCTTACCTGCAGCCTTCCAACAGGAGTCTCTTCTTGAGCTGCTTGTTTTAGTAGCTTAGCGTACTCCATGTATTCGGCGACGCGTTGAAGAAAAGAAAGCGGCTCGTTAAAAATGACCGGCATGGTGATCTTGCTGAGATCCTTGCCCAGTGACAGCACCGAGCAAAGATTTACTTCTGAATGTCCCGGAACTGGTAACGTTGTTCTTGAAAAATCATTATTTCTCATCGTTAGAATTTTGTAAAAGTTATATTATACAGGCTTATATTTCTTTCATAGGAAATGATCAAAGAAGAATATTCAATTTCTTTTCTTCATATTCAATGATTGGATCATCAAGAAAACATTTAGAATGTTCCTACATATTTATCTATCATTGATCACCAACTAACGTTTCGATCGTAGGTCAGTCATCTTTCAACAAAAATGGACTTACCCCATTGATTTTCCATTTCAAACACGTTCAAAATGTCTCCTAAATTTATTATCGAATATTAAAAAAAAAAAAATTATTGAACATTCTTGTTTATAAAATTCAATTGCAATTATCTAACAAAAGTATCAAGCAGTCACTGATTATTCCTAAGGATCATCTATGTCATTTCAATTTATCGAGCAACAATTGCAGATTTCTAACAAGATCGTCAGACTTCAGGTGCTTCTTCAACTAGTGGCGGCTTCGTGGCCGGTTCCAATTGTCATTTAAATGATCATCCATAAAGAAAATCTTAACCCTTTCCTTCGCTCTTTCCTATTTATCAGGCTAGACGTTATACGAGACTAGAAATTATATCAATTGACATGTAATGAAATTGATCGAGGAAAGCGTCGGATTTGAGGATGCAACACGCACCTGTACGGTTTCAGTATCGTTTCGTTGGCCATTATACACGAGCCCGTCGCAAACTACGGCTGACTAGGTAGTCCTATCGCTTCTTCAGGTCCACCCTTCGTTGACCCCAACGTCGCGACGTCCAACGACATTCGGCAATTACGTGAATAAAAGGTCGACGAAACGAAGAGATTCACCCCGCATAGTTTATATTTTTAGCAGCATCCGTTTTACACCAAACGGTTCACCGTCGCGGATAGAAGAGGGTGGGGGTGGAAAGCGAATGAAGAAAAATTTCCCCACGGGTTTTTCGAAAGCCTATCACCGTGACATCGCTGACATGATTGAATTCAATAATCCGGCTAATTTTGAGTCAGATCCGAGGTAACATCCGGATCACTCGACATGTGCGATCACCTTAGCACAGGGTGTTCTATGTAGGGTCCCAGAACTGACGATCAGCTGTACACCCCGAAGACTGAACGTGCGGGTGTGACGGGACACCCTCGGCGCACCCTCTGCTCTCTTACTGCTCTCTCACTCGCACCCTTTCAACACAGTGAACTGGTGAAACACAAACGTCTCACTCCACCAACCTTCTCCGGGAAATATCAATAAATTGGAGCATGGTTGTTGCGAACCACACGATACTCCTTCCGTTCTGCTAGCTGTCTTATTCGTTCGAATCGTGGCCACGCGTGCGCGTTCCACCGATGCAACCCTCGAGATTTAACCTGTTAACCCTTTCACAGATTAATTGAAAATTTAACAGCTGCGCAATATATTTTTTAAAGCACCTACAAAGGGAAGGCGGAAAAGTTTTAAAGAAATTTTTCTTTACGCCTTTCTATGCTTCCTTATTGATACCAAGGAACCGTCCGGAGAGTCGGCGGAAAACTTGTACTTTTTATACTTCATTTTCTCTGTCGAATATAAGTTATTAATACCCACTGTGATAATTGAAAAGATCAACTCTCAGCATCTAAATTTTCCAACTAAATTTTCCGAGTATCATCGTCACCTGCGGTCTTCCAATTGCGGGTTTCCATCACAATTTCCCTCGCTACCTTAATTAATTTGACCATCTTGAGCGCTTGAAGAGCGGTGATCAAGTTTCGAATCAATTACACGGGGGAAATTTCATTTTTCCGAATAAATTACTTGTTATCTCGTTCATTGATGCACGTCGATTAATTGAATCAACCGATAAATTCCATGCGTGATTTAATCGATGCTGTAATTAAGTTGTTAGTAACATGTCGCTTAATTGTAATATGATTTTCAGCTCTTCTGAGAGTAACCTACAGTATTTTTCCTTGAAATAAATAACTATCCTTCGTGTTCTGTGAGTTAATTTCGTTGAACAATAGCACGCGATGCTGTCTTCGCCGTGCTTTCAATGAAGCATGTACAATGAATGTTAATTAAATTCGCTTTCTGCTTATGAAATACAATCGTGATTAAATAGCATCCTCAGATGAGTTTTTCCAATTAGTTGACTGAAACTTTGAACAATTTTACAAATGAAAGTTCATATAACATTCAATGTATCAATGTCTAAAAGATTAAAATGTTCAATTTATTTCGAATACGAATGAAATAATTGAACATTGAATAATCAAAACGGGAAATTATAGATCGTCTCTCGAGTCCGTAACTAAAGTCACATTGTTCCGATAGCAAATTTCTGAGATTACCGCGTAATCCCCTCGCAGCTGGCTAATTAGAATGGGTTAATGATCGGGTGGAAAGTTCACTGGTCTCTGCGGTACATAGATACTGGCAATACATCAGAACATGAATAAACCGAATCTCTCTATTGATTCAGTTGGAAAGCAAATCGATAACCGTACGAGGTACAGGGGCTCACTTCGTTACAAATCGGCCAACTTTCGTCGGATCGACGAAGGGACGAACCTCATTCGTTGGGCCAATTCCTTCACGCGAACTGAATCGCCGATTAAAAAGGCTCTTCAGTTCGAATTCCGCGATGATCGTGAAAGCAACGTCGTTATTTTTGTAGCTATCTCGTTTCAAAAATTCGAAACTATTTAAATTCATCGTGTACGTTCGTAATTATACTTCGCAATGGCTAATCAAACTGAATCAGAAAGGAAAGATATCGCAGTATCGGATACCGAAGATGATTTAGACGAGCAACAGAAACAAACAGATATACCGGAAACGGAAACGTTGGAGACGAAACCGCGTGTGCGGAAGTACATGACGAAACACATGAGATTGTATCCGGAATTGTATAGAAGCGATGTATCTATACACCCGAGCTACACGACACTTAAGAATTTACCCTAGTGAGAATAATTAAAATTCATAACGACAATATAAAATATTTTTTACTCTTTTCATCCGATCTGATTACAATGTCTTTGTTAACGAATAAAGATTTTATCTGTTAAAGTAACGTCGTCTGTCGTCGTCGCGTGCAATCCACCAGGAAACAGATCAAACGTCAATTGAACCGTGAGATCATGCATTTCGCGATGATGCAAATGTTTGCCATTGACAGCGTCAGGATCGACCGTGTCTTCAGCCTCGGGATGCCACCGAAGACATTGATTATCCCCGATTTCGCAACCGAGAACCAGAGACGTCACATCCGTCAACTTCTTCGTGAAAAATGAACAACTATCGTCGCGCTCGTTTGTAACAAATAAATAAAGGCATGTTTGTAAGTTTGATTAAAATTGAACGGCTGTGTTTTCTTCGGGAAATGTCATAAATTGGAAACGCTCCACGCGAAATCGGAGAAGCAAACAAATTCGGTCGAAAACAAAGGAATCCTTTTTCGCACGTTCTGACATTTATGAGATAATGATATCGTGAAAATATTTTAACCTTTGTCATTTCGATTTGACGAGAAACGTGCCATGTTTCGTAACAAATACCAGCAAGGACTTTTGTCCATTTTGTACAGCTGCGGTGCGACCCCCTTGGAATTATGGGACATGCACGTAAGTTTCAAATTTGATATCGTACGAAATTAACCCTTTACGATCCATTATCGTAGCAAATTTTATATTATATTATATTATCAAGCATGAGAATTTCTTCTTTTCGTTAGAATTTTCAAACTTCGCAGGTATTAACACGTCGAATGCCATGGGGGTGGTGATTATAGTGTGTGACTGGTACCATAAATTAAATATTTCATTAATTTTTAAGGGATCAAGTAGAAAATACAATTTAAAGAATAAAACAATTGTAATCTAAGGGTGCCACGTTATTATATCTCAATACTTGAATCTCTTATAATGATAAATCATTTTGAGCAGGTAAAAAATGGTTACATTCGAAGGGTCACAGACGAAGAAGTAAAATCATTGGCTCTAGAGATAGCTGGTACAAATGTCACCACAACCTACATATTCTGTCCAAAGGAGGCGAAACAGGTTCTTGGTATCAAGCTTCCTTTTCTTATCATGATCATCAAGAATATGAAGAAATACTTCACGTTCGAGATTACAGTAAATTTTCTATTATATTTTTCGAAGTGTATTTCGGTTGATTTTGAGATTGAAGGACGGATTATCTTCACTTGGACAGATATTGGACGACAAAAACATGCACAGAAGGTTCCGAATGAGTAATTTTCAAAGCACCACTCGAGTTCGACCCTTCTGCACATCGATGCCGATCGGTTTGTCCGGAGGGTGGAATCAGGTTCAATTTAATCTGTCAGACTTCACACGAAGAGCGTACGGCACTAATTACATTGAGACCACACGCGTACAAATACACGCAAACTGCAGGATCCGACGTATTTACTTTGCGGACAGGTGCAAAATAAATTTCTTTTCTGATACCAACTCGTTTTCACCATTTCATGTATTTCATTTCCCGTCATTTTTAACTAGAAATATGTTACTTTCTAACATCTAATAATAAAGGTACCACAGCTCATCAACTCATCAGTAATTCGAGTAACATAGTCAAACGATTTTACAAAAGTCTGTATTTGAATAGACTTTATTCGGAAGACGAGTTGCCGGAAGATTTTAGGCTTTTCTTGCCTATTCATCGGAAGAAATGTGTCCGCGAAAAGAAGGTGGAGAAACCGAAGGACAAAGATCTAGAAAAAGTAGAAGTTGTGGAACCACCAGCTTTCGAAACGGCTGGCATGCCTGAAGATGATGAAGAAGGTGAGAAAGGTTTGCCAGAAGAATCGGAAGCCGAATCCGAAGATGTTCCCTCGGAACAGGAACAGAAGAAAGATCAACCCGAAGAGAAAGACGATGAAGACGAAGAGGAGGACGAAGGTGAAGCTTTGGGAGCAGATGATTACGAAGGTGAAGATGAAGAACCTGCCGAAGATGATATCGAAATACATGCAACTGCTGATTTAACTTCTCCCGAAGATGCCTCAGAAGAGGAATCCGAAGAAGAGTATGAAATTCGACAGCAGATGTGATTTTGTATAATTACGATCTTCGCGTAGCGTAAAATAATGATTAAATAAATTTTCTTGTAAAAGAATTGAAGCTTAATGAACTTAAAATGAAATTTATTCAAAATATTCATTATTATTCAGCGTCTATTATGATCAGAAAAAGTACTATGTACAAAACATATTAATTGAAACATAAAAACGTATTAATTACGTATACTTTATACAACACTTTCTATTACGAAATATAACAATCGTTTGAAATTTAATTGTAATTATAGGTGCTGATATTTCAAATTATTAAGCACCATTGGAAGGTATAAATTAAAGAGGTCGTTCGACGTTTTTTTCATACAATAAAAGCATAAAATAAAAGTTTATTCAATATCTATTATTTATTGTTATGGTACGTCGTAATCATCGTCTTCTCTCTTCCTTTTCATCGAATCTTCTATCTCTACCTTAACAGGCGGCATTGTCTGACCCGAGGAAATTTGTATTTTCGGTTTAGCTACTTGTGCTTTTACAGTAGCTCCTCCTGATGATGCTAGAAATTCAAAAAACTAACATGTGTAAACAATTAAGGAAACATAAATTTTATTAACATCACTTATACAAGCTGCATCTTACATATATGGGTCCTCAATGAAATATGGATAGAGGGAATAGATGTTTGGGATTGTAGGATTCGAAAGGAATCTGTGGATACAATTTAAAGTTAATCAAAATTAACTATTTCTGTAACCTTCCAGAAAACTTACCTGTTGAAAACTTTAAAACTGGCTTTGGCATTGAAATAGTTTGGGTTCTAGCTACTGTTGCAAGTGTTCCAGGTCTCTTAACAATTGAAAGACCAGTCTTATTGCCTTCTACTTTAATTTTAGATTGACCACCCTGTATATTGTTTCCAACTAAAGAATGTAACGGCTTCCCAATCATTTTCTTTGTTACATTTTTCAGTTTGTAATTTGTTGCATTTAAACAGTATCTATCAGGTGGCAATCTCAACCCATTACTTGGTTTAACAAATGGAAGCGGTATATTGTTTTTTGCTCTAGCAACATCCAGTAATACATCTCTCGGTGGCGGATTGGTAAAAGTACGTTCTAATTGCATCTTCACTGCCAATCTAACATCGTCCAAGTCGATAAATTTCTTTTTCGCATGATTTGCGTAAATTCTACTATCGTCTAATATACAAGTGACATAACCTATAAATTGAAAGTGAACCCAGCTTTGATCCATTTTATACAACAATAAAGCGATAAATATGTAAATAACATCTTCATTCATATTTGTATTATAACACTGAATAAATTGTAAATATAAAATACGTACGATACGTAAATTCAAGTAACTGATTTATAACCTTCGGTTCATAATCGGTGATCCCCATATCTTTCATAATGGACATTATAACTTGGGCATCTTTTGGAATATGTTTCACGTGACTTATAGTTTTTGCTTTTTCTGTCATTTTAAAAAATATTACTCTTATAAAATATTATTTTGACTTTCACTACTCTATGTATTTTAGGTTAGCGTTACAATTCACAAAGGGATACAAAATTATGAAGTATTTGCCGCTCAAGATACAGTGGTGCCATTAAACAAGTTTCAAACTCGCAGTATTAAAATTGCTTTTTTCTTGTTAACATTAATATTTCTGTTACTAAATTACTTTTGCCTTTATTTGTTAGTACAAAATACATTTACGAATATTATTAAAGCTTCAAAATCTCTTTTGTGTGACAAATCTTTGTTTATTAGAGTGGCAATCATCATAACATTTTGCAACTCATTTCAATTGAATTTAGTTGGCCAGTTGGTGGCTTGCTACCAAACTATAAGAATACGTTTTGCCGAAAAAAGTTATATTATATGAAAACCACTATGAATATCACATCAGCTGGTAAATAATATATTCAGTATTTATTATTAAAGTCCATGTTTAAATTTTATCTTTTCAGCATTTGTTAGTTAATTTTCATATAGTGATCAAACAGGGCACATGCAATGATTTGCAAATCTCGTTGACCATAACCTTCAAGTTTATTTTTTAGATATCAAATAAAACTGTTTATTTTATATTAAATCATGTTTTAGGATATTTTATATTTTCTCCATCTTCTATATAATTTAATTAACCATCTAATTTTTGTTTTCTTTCAGCTGGTATCATCTCCCTTCTGGAGGAACCAATGCCAGAATTGAAAGTCTTTGCTTTAAAGAAGCTAGACATGATAGTCGACGAGTTTTGGCCTGAAATCTCTGAGGCTATAGAAAAAATGTATGAAGCAACAGTACTGTGTTTTATCATGTTGAAGATATTTTTCTTTGTTCTAATTATTAATATGTTATGTTACAGTGAAATTCTTCATGAAGATAAGTCATTTCCTCAACATGATTTAGCTGCATTAGTTGCTAGTAAGGTGTATTATCATCTAGGAAGTTTTGAAGATTCTCTTACTTATGCTCTTGGAGCTGGAGAATTATTTGATGTGAATGCCCGCAATGAATATGTTGATACCACTATAGGTATTACCAATGTGCCTTATCGATCATAAGTTTTGTTAGCTTCAGTATTTTTATTTAAATTTTGTTTCAGCTAAATGTATTGATTATTATACTCAACAACGTGTATTGGAAGCAGAAGGAAAGTTACCACCAGGTAGCAAAGGAATTGATCCCAGATTGGAAGGAATTGTGAACAGAATGTTTCAACGTTGTTTAGATGATAATCAATATCGTCAAGCCTTAGGGCTTGCTCTTGAAACTAGAAGAATGGACATTTTTGAAGCTGCAATTATGCAGTCAGTAAGTTAAATTTTAATCAATTTATCGCGAGCAAATAAATATTTAAAACGTATGTTTATATCTCAAATTATTTTTATTAGGAAGATGTGAGTGGCATGTTGTCTTATGCCTTCCAAGTTGTCATGAGTCTCATTCAGAATCGTGGTTTCCGCAATACTGTACTTCGTTGCTTAGTGAGCCTTTACCGGAACCTGGGAACACCCGATTACGTTAATATGTGTCAATGCTTGATATTTCTGGACGATCCATTAGCTGTAGCTGAACTTTTAGACAGATTAAGTAAAGGCTCCCAAGACTGTGTCCTTATGGCCTATCAGATTGCCTTCGACTTGTACGAATCCGCGACTCAGCAGTTCCTCGGTCGCGTTTTGCAAGCTCTTAGAGCAACGGCTCCGATTCCAGGAGCTCTTATGGTTAAACCCATCGTTAAACCAGCTGTCAAAGCATCTACCAATGAGAATTCTGAATCTACAAGTGCCGAGCCCGAAAACAGTACACCGGCTCCGGAAGAAAAATCTCAACGCAGCGTTGAAAGTTTGGTAAGTTGAATTATTTAATTAATAAATGCTATAGAAATATTATTAATTCGTTTATTTCGTTTGTTTAGAATGCGGAAGAACGCGAACAGCAGGAACGAGTAGATGCTTTGTCGAGTATTTTGGGTGGAGAAATTTCGATCGATTTACATTTACAATTTTTAATCCGGAGTAATCATACAGACATGTTAATATTGAAGAATACTAAAGATGCAATACGCGTTTCCATTTGTCATACTGCCACTGTAATCGCGAATGCGTACATGCATTCTGGAACTACTAGCGATCAATTTCTAAGGTAAGAACGTATCCTTGCGTTTAATCAACTTCATCGTACCTATACGTACGATATTCTAAAGAAACATGGAATTTTAGAGATAATTTAGAATGGTTGGCTCGTGCTACGAACTGGGCCAAACTAACGGCGACAGCATCTCTAGGAGTGATTCATAGGGGTCACGAACAAGAAGCTTTAGCTTTGATGCAGTCCTATCTCCCGCGGGATACCGGCGCGGGTGCTGGTTATTCCGAAGGAGGCGGTTTATACGCGTTAGGACTTATACACGCAAACCACGGCGCAGCAATTACAGATTATTTACTTGGTCAACTGAAGGACGCACAAAACGAGGTGCGTTATTCTTCTGAAACTGTCTGTTCGCCCCATTGAATGAAATACAAAAACATTCTCATCGCAAACGAGCAACGTTTGTTTTCTTTTACAGATGGTGAGGCACGGAGGTTGTTTGGGTCTGGGATTAGCTGCTATGGGATCCCACAGGCAGGATGTATACGAGCAGTTGAAATTCAACCTTTATCAAGACGACGCTGTTACTGGCGAAGCAGCGGGCATTGCTATGGGCATGGTTATGCTGGGATCTAAATCAACTCAAGCAATAGAAGACATGGTAGCGGTAAGTTGAAACATGATTTTTATTATTTTATACATTTTTTTTTTTTTTTTTTTTTCATCCAAGTATCATAACATTGCTTCATTAACCGCGGGCGTAAGGAGATTGGCTGTTTGTCTCGAAGTAATAGTTTCCTCTAGCACTGTAAACAAAATGATTAATAGGAACTTTCTTTGTTTATCTTATCATTGTAATAATGTGTGATTCTAATGGGCGTAGTTAGTGAAAAAATCATTAGATATGGGGATAAAATGAAACTTACCTTTGATCAAGAGTGGGACCACCCATGTATGCAATTGCACCGTTCTTAGCAACGGCACGGAAACCTCTCGAGTTTGTTATGGATTCGCTGAAGTATTCGTAGGCACGTCCATGAGCACATTGACCTGGGCAATAAAACGAGCATTTATTATCTTATTCGTTGATACATTTCCATATTCTACGCGCAGTCGAACTTCATTTCTTCAGTCTCTTACCCGTTACATTTATACCGCAGCCAGGCTGACTTTCTCCACCATTAGCAAAGAAATCGGAGCTACCAATTGAGATTTTAATGCCCAATATCGCTGCACAAGTGTGAAGAACTTGAACGTGTTTGGCATGTGATTTGTCGACTCTGTTGTTTGGTCCATTACTTTCAAACATCGGCTTGGCAGGATCAAGAGCTGTATGTTGTTTTCGATTCATTAGTTTCAGTATTTCTTTGCATTCACACTTAAAGTGGATAGGCTCTATCGTTTACCTTCATTTTCCCATTCAGAAATCTTATTTTTACTTGTATTTGCTTACCGACAACTTCAGCTATCGGGCTAGACTCTGACACGGTTTTCGCGGCTAAGCTCGATACATGGGCACCCAGAGAATGTCCAACCAATTTCGTAGCTAGAGTTTTCAGACCGACTGATGTTCTCATGAAATTGATGAACTTGGCTACGCGATCAGCCACGTTTGGTACACCATGGGCAGCTGGTCTGTATGTCGGATTCGAAGCTACCGAGTTCCAGTCAACAACAATCACATTATAAGCTGTAGCTTTGAGATACGCTGTGGACAGAAAAGCATTTGGCGACTATAAAAGATTAACGGCTTAGTTACATCGTGTTAATTTATTTACCATCACGCACGAGCGTGCAGGCTCTTGAAGTACCACTGCTTCTCCATCCATGAGTGACGAAGACAGTGACTTGATTCGGGTCCCAATGGCTCGACCGAATGCTGTTGGCATCGTTCAGTCTTAGGTTTTGTCCGGCTGTTGGGTTCTTCCTAAAATTATAGAATTCTTCGTGAAGCAGATCCTGGGTTTCTGTAGGGAAGCATATCGCGAGGGGTGGGTTGACAGAAACAATAAGCACCAGAGTTCAAAGCTTAAAAAAATTCAATTCTAACCGTGTGAAAAGCGTGAAAGAGGTAGATTCAACATTATAAGCTAAAGTTTGAAGTTCATCTGCCGTGAGTGGTGTGTAGTCGATTTTAACCAAATGCGGTACTCCATCTTCAGTTGGGATGAGAGTGTAATTAGCTTCCATCAACGCTGTGAGCAGCGTTGGATAAACTGTAACAAAATGAATGTTTTTAACCAAATTTCACAGTTAATTCTTAATGTTAAGAATATTTGTATACGAACGCAATGCCAAAGATGCCGGAGCAACCATTGTCACTTTCTTCCCTGTAGATTAGAAATCGGTGACACTGCTTTGATTTCCAGATTTGTCGTCTTTTATAGGTTGAATGGACACAATGGTCGTCCACTTGAATAGTATCGCGGTAAGCCATTGATTCTCCTCCAATATACGATTACTTGTTCATGTTTCTGATTAATCTGAATATGTGTTGGAGCACAGCTTCAAGCGGTTCAAGATTGATAAGCTTCCTCATTTGAAATTTTGATTAACACTTTGATGTCGTATCTCACGTGTTCGTATTCACAATCAGAATTTTAACAGTATCTACGAATGTATGGTGGAGTCACAAAATTTTATCGCTGATTATCAAAAATATGTTAACAGAGGAAATTACGATAATTATTATCTGGTCCATCGAACGTGATTTAATAATTAACAGATTAAATAATTTGGGATAACATTTCAACACAATCACTCGATCGTAGTGCGTGTAATAATTATATTTTTGATACATTAATCACAACGCATGAGATACAGGTTTTAATCTCTATGCTGTTATCGTGGAATCTAGTGATTGGGTTAAAATCTCTCGGATGAAACCTTGGATATTTCAGGACCCCCTTCATTATTTTAACATTAATATCTTATCTACTTATAGATCAAGTATTATGAAGTAATACTTTCTTATCGCAGTCACGTTAACGCGTTT